TTTCTACTGCAACACCATCCCACCAATTACAGACTTGCAGCCTGCCATGTTGCTCAACGAAATACAAAGCCTTCCTTTTGTTACTTAAACCAGGCGCATGGAAACAAAAATATCTGTTTAAAGCAATGCATTAACCAGTAACCCAAATGCTGTGTGGAGGAGGCTTTCTAATGAGCCTTCAGTACAGGTACCAGTCGTTTGACTGGGAAGAGGTCAGAAGTTTATTTCCAGTCTTGGCGAAAACCTTGTATCCCAGCCAATGAACACTCAATGTTGTCCTTTAAGAACTTTATTAAAATCACTGTAGTTACTCTTAAACAGATTAAATAAACCAGAGGTGTAATTATACAGAAAACTTTAAAATATGTAAATGGCATTATAAATTTTAAAAAATCATAAGAACATAAGAGAAGCCAATTTTGGATCAGGCCAATGGCCCATCCAGTCCAACACTGTCACACAGTGGCCAAAAATACCAGGTGCCATCAGGAGGTTCACCAGTGGGGGCAGGACACTAGAAGTCCATGTGTTAATCGCTCTTTGGGTGAAGAAGTACTTCCTTTTATCCCTTCTAACCCGATTGCTGAGCAATTTCATTGAGTGCCCACGAGTTCTTGTACTGTGAGAAAGGGAGGAAAGTACTTCTCTCTACCTGCTCTGTCCCACGCATAATTTTGTAAACCTTTATCATGTCACTCCCCATTCATCATTTCTCCAAGCTAAATAGGCCCAAGCACTTTAACCTTTCTTCATAGGGAAAGTGTCATCCTTTCTCCTACGTATCTGCCATTTAAATATAAGAGGCAATTTCTAAAATTCTTATGAAGCCATTTCAGAAAAGGTAAGATAACCTCACCACAACCCAGATTTGAGAGATTCAGGGGTTTTTGTTTGTGGCTGTCTAGGGGTCATTTCCTACAGGAACGCACAGGAGCGGAGCTCCAGCAGTAAAGAGCCCAGGGGGCGGGCACATGCAACAGGCCTCACCCCCTGCTCCCAACAGCCCTCAGTCAGAGCAAGAAGCAGCCAGGTAAGTTTTTAGAGGCCCTCCCCCCAGGTCCAAAACAGTCCAGTGGCACCTTTAAGACCAAGTTTTATTCAGGTACAAGCTCTCCCTCCTCTGCGAGGACAGATCTGCACGTCCCCCCCCCCAATAGCTAGCAATCCAAAACAGTCCAGTGAAGCCTGAGCGGTGGATGTTGCCTTCTGACACACTTCCGGTGATGTCAGGGGGTGTGGCATATGCAAATAAGTTATGCTAATGAGTTATGCTAATGAGCTCATAGGAGCTGAGGTGGCTCAAGTGGTTAAGACGCTGAACTGCAGGCTGTGGAAGGTCAGTAGTTCAGCAGTTCGAGACCCGGGTGCCGCATGATGGAGTGAGCTCCCATCTCTAGTTCCAGCTCCTGGCAACCTAGCAGTTCGAAAGCAAGAAATTGCAAGTAGATAAATAGGTACCACTTCGGTGGGAAGGTAACAGCGTTCCATGCGCCTTGGTGTTTAGTCATGCCAGCCACGTGACCACGGAAACGTCTTCGGACAGCGCTGGCTCTTTGGCTTTGAAACGGAGATGAGCACCGCAACCCTAGAGTCGGATTCGACTGGCTTTCGAGCAAGGGAACCTTTACCTTAATGAGCTCCTGCACCTCTTTTTCTATGATATGACCGCTGGTCTTATATAGACACCATTGCACGAGCCTCACATGACTATCTTAAACCATCTAATTTGTTTTCTCTAAAGGCATGATGTTAAGACATGCTAAGTATTCCAAAGAATAACTGTTGTAAGCTTTGTCCTATTTTTCCTGGGATTTGTTCTGGGCATAAAGCCAATTGATTCATAAGTTATCTTTCTCAAGGCTGAAGCTGATGGTTTGCTGGGAAAGTGGGAAAAAGGCATGTTTGCAGATTTACATGAAACCCCGAAAACTCTCAGGGCTAGTGTGTCAGAACACCCTAAAAAAGAATTTAAACGTAAAAATCCACATCATTCCAATGCAAGAAGCTTCTTATGTCACAGGAAGGATCTTTGAACCAGAAGAGGGCTTCAAACGTGGCTGAATTTTATATAATTTCGAGATCAAACCTTTTATCTCTCCAGTCTTGTGTCTAATCAGGATTTCAAATGGTGTAAGTATTTGGGGAGTTGTACTTCTGTACATCCACTCTCTGGTGAGATGTTGGAGTTGAAAGTATCTGAACCATGGTATGTTTTCTCTGAGTTTCCTCTCCAGAGCTGCTTTTGAGATAGATGTCCCTTTATCCATTATGTCTATCATTCTTGTAAGTCCCGCCCTTCTCCAACAGAAAACAATAGCCTCACAATTCAAATGGCATACTGATTGCCAAAACAGGCTCCAGACGATTTCATGGGATAAAATCTGGAGCTCGCCTAGTCCTTCTTCAAAAATCTTTTGTATTAAACTTAATTTCTTTAAAGTCCTTCATCGCTGGTACCTAACACCTTCACGGCTAAATAAAATCGATCCAAAAATAAACAAACTCTGCTGGAAAAAATGTGGGAAGACTGGAGATTTTATACACTGTTGGTGGTCCTGTACCTCATCACAACAGTTCTGGACACAAATTGTACAACAAATTCACAAAATCACGGGAATCAACTTACCTTTTCTACCTGAAACGGTCTTGTTGGATGTCATCCCAGATACCTGTGAAAGAAAAGTCACTAGAACATTAATAGCAACATTATTAGCTATTGCACGCATAACTATAGCCCAGTATTGGAAGAACAAAAATCAACCTACTCTCCAATGTTGGCAAAACAAACTTTGGGAGCACTTTATATATGGTAAAATTGTCTCTCACCAAAAAAGTTTTCAAGCAACTTGGTTCCCAGTGGTGAACTATCTAGCAGAAGAAGAAGTGATTCCAAACAACTCTTATTACAAAGATCTGTTATATTTTTAAAAGGGCTCTTAAGGGTTGAGAAAGTTGATTATTGCATAGTGTCAATATATGTTATGAATGTACTGTTGTATATATTGTTCAAAATAAAAAACACTTATTGAAAAAAAAACGTGGCTGAATGAAAGGGCAGAAGTATACAAGTGGATGGGTCATGGCTCAGTGGTCGAGCATTGGTTTTGCATGAAGGTCCCAGGTTCAATCCCTGGCATCTCCAGTTAAAAGTATCAGGTAGAAGGTGATAGGAAAGACATCTGCCCGTGACCCTGGACATCTGCAGCAAGTCACAGAAGACAATCTCTGTATGTGTGTGTGTATGCCTGGAAGACATGGGTGACTTCTGGCGACCCCTAGTGGGACTTGGACGTATCAGAGAGGTGGCTTGCTTTTGTCTGCCTCTGCATCCTGGCCCTGGTATTCCTTGGAGATCTCCCATCCAAACACTCGCCAGGGTCGGCCCTGCTTAGCTTCTGAGATCTGCTGAGATTGATCTTGCCTGGGACATCCAGGTCAGGACGCAGTACACAATCTTGACCTTGATAGACCAAAGGTCTACCTCTGAATAAGGCAGCTTCATAAATGTGTTCAGCTCACACCCTGGACTGCATTATCTGGGAAATTATAAAGAGAATTATTGACAACCAAAGACTTTGGCTGAAATGCCCTAGCCAGTGCTGATATAAAGCAAACTGTCCATTACCCATCAGCTCTTATATTGTTATCCAAATCTTCTTCCAAGGAACTCGAGCAGGTGTAATGGTTCTCCTTCTTCCAGTTTGTCCTCACAACAATCCTGTGAAGGAGGTTAGATTAAGAGACTCCAGCCTGAGGTCACCCAGTGAGTGATGTGGTGCTGTGGGAAGTAGAACCCATATCCTCCAGTCCCTAGTCTGGTGTTCTAACCATCATGCCACACTGACTTTGTGTGGGATGGGATGCCATGGTCTGTCACTTTCTGAGAGGAATTCTGCACACACATATTACCCATGGTTAAGGGTAACCCTGGCACCACTCTAAACCATGATTCAAGTTCATCAGGGTTCCATTAACCAGGGTTTGAGGAGGGCAATGAAGATGGTGAGGGGTCTGGAAGAACTTCCTGACAGAGCGGTTCCTCAGTGGAGCAGGCTGCCTTGGGAGGTGGTGGGCTCTCCTTCTTTGGAAATTTTCAGAGACTAGATGGCCATCCAACAGTAATGTAGATTCTGTGAACTTAGGCAGATCATGAGAGGGAGGGCAGGAAGGGTTGCATCAGTGCTTAGTTCTTGTGGCCCTTTCTTACATGCATAGGGAAATGCTGATTGCCACTTTTGGGTCAGGAAGCAATTTTTCTCCAGGCCAGTTTGGCCCCCAGTGATCCTGGAGTTTTTTTGTCATCTTCTGGGTGTGGAAGGGGAGGTATTTGTGACTAGATGACCCCGGAGGTCCCAACTCTGATTATAACAAGTTTACAAAGATGGGCTGGAGTCAATTCTTGCTTGCCCCAGTGATACAGTGAATGCCTGTCTTTGGAAGTGTGATTCAGCTGAAAAGCAAGCTCCTGTAGGGTGAGGGTTGAGCCAGGATAATCCAGTGCTGTCCCCACAGTTCTGTTATTTTAACTGGGATTTAAAATACCCTTAAAAAGAGGAGATACCAGCTCATCTGCCTCATTCGTTCGTTTTCAATTTTTAGGAGGCAGTTGGAGACAGTTTTATTTAGGACTGGTTAAGTTTAGCAGCAGCCCCAGTCCTGAGTAGTGGTTTTAAATTTCGGTGTTATATTTTTAATGTATTTTATTTGTGGTCTTTTATCTACATTTGTAAGCTGCTTTGAGCATCAAAAGGAAGAAAGGCAGCTAATACATATTTTAAATAAATAAATACATTTCTGGCAGCCTCCCTTTCTTCTTAGCCTCTGGGATGTCAGAGGCAACCTGTCTAGAAAAGAAACAAACACACATCACTTAATTTTAATATTAAACACGGTGCGGAGGAGACATGAAGAAAGTGGTGTTCCGGCCACCACAGGTTCTGTGGAGAGCACCGCAACATGGTACAGCGCACTCAGGCGTCCGGCAAAACTGACCACCGGGGAAATGGCACATGTAAGCCCCAGTCTGAGCTTGCGGAGTCACAGATGGAAGTTGGGGAGAAACTGCCAGCCAGGAGAAAGGAGACAAATCCCGCTTTGTTTCTGCTCCAGGGGCCAGTTTGTGAAGATTCTTCCAGATACTCTATGGTGGAGGCAGCTCCAGAAAGTTGCACACCGCAGTGAGGAACTCTTGGGGTTGATCAGCATGAACCCAGTGCCCCGCATTGGACACATACTGGATCTCTGCTTCGGGGAAAAGCCGCTCGATCTCTGGGTAGTCGTTGGAGCTACAGATAGGGGGACAGAATACAGTGCTGAGCAGCAGTGACACTGGAAAAACACCCCCCCCCCCAATGCTCCCTTTGTAAAGAACTCAGGTCAGTTTGGAAACCAGTGGGTTGGATCCAGCCAGGTGAAAAAGGGAGGTGAGAGTCCCCTTTAACCACCATAAAAGCTGGCGCAGTTGTACAAATACTATTGTGATTTTAATGTTTGTATAGACTGTTTTACTGTTTTATTGTTGTACGCCGCCCTGAGCCGCTTCGGCGGGAGGGCGGGATAAAAATCAAATAAATAAATAAATAAATAATAAAAGGCTGGGGATCACGGTATGTACATGGACATGAGCCATTTGGAGTAAAGGCTGCAGTCAAAAGGTGAATTTGGTAAGAATACAGCAAAAAAGCTGGAGGGATCCAACCCAGTGAGCAACTCATTCAAAATCCCCAGCTCCAAAGCCTGGCATCAGAACCACCAAGGCAAGAAAATGGCTGCTGGTGGAGGAACAGGAACTCCTTGCACACTCAGAGGTATGCTGTAGGACCAGAGAAATCCCAGCTAATACATGATATGGGAGACTGAGGGTTACTCTGTACATCATTTGCCCATACACAGCACGGCAAAGCAGGTGTGGTCTTCACCTAGGTTCCCTTTAAGGTGCGCCAAGCTGCGCTGGCGCACCAATTCCCAATCGTCAGCGCAGCAAATCTAATCTTGGCGCAGGAGCCAGAGGTTCCCCCTACCCAATAGTTGCGAGGAAGCCCAGAAGCCCAGTAGTTTGATTGGGGCATTCAAATCTGGGCTGGGCCCGCCTCCCCTCCCTTCCGGCTTGCCTACCCTATGAAAGGGGGCGCTGCGTCCCACCAGTCCTCCCTCGTGCAGCCGAAGACCAAGTGGCCCAAGAACTACTCGAAGGACTGCTGCCGCCCTTCATGAGGTAAGTCGCCTGATTCTTTCTTTTGTCTGGGAGGGGGGGTCACCCTTCGAGTGAAAGTGTGTTTGTGTGTGCATGCTGCTTGTGTCCTGGCTGGGATCTTTCTACTTCCCTGGGCTCCGTTGGGGGGGGGAGAGAGAGAGAGAGGGACTGTTTGTGTGTGCATGCTGCTTGTGCCCTGGCTGGGATCTTTCTACTTCCCTGGGCTCCGTTGGGGGGGGGAGAGAGAGAGAGAGGGACTGTTTGTGTGTGCATGCTGCTTGTGCCCTGGCTGGGATCTTTCTACTTCCCTGGGCTCCGTTGGGGGGGGGAGAGAGAGAGAGAGACTGTTTGTTTGTGTGTGCATGCTGCTTGTGTCCTGGCTGGGATCTTTCTTCTTCCCTGGGCTCCGTTGGGGGGGGGAGAGAGAGAGAGAGGGACTGTTTGTGTGTGCATGCTGCTTGTGCCCTGGCTGGGATCTTTCTACTTCCCTGGGCTCCGTTGGGGGGGGGGAGGAGGGG